CCAAGAGAAGTGAGTATCTGACTGATCAGTGTCCCTTTAAGTGTGGTCGCTCTGAAGGTCTCCTGCATCAGAATCTTTGGTAGAGTGGAGACACTCGGGTTCCTCGGCACTCCCAGACCTAGGGAATCAAAATCTCTGCAAATGGCCCAGGAATCTAGCTTTTATTATAACTCCACTGTTATTCTTATACAGAACAAAGACCAGGAAACACTGACCTATGCAGTGTAGAGTCAAAGAACAGGCTTTGGCTCTTTGGATCCTAACCTCAAATGCCAAGTGAATGCACTCCTTTTAAGAAAAATTTATTTTTCAGTTTATTTGGGGGCAGGGGGAATTGGTATTTATTTATTCATTTTTAAGGGAGGTACTGGGGATTGAAGCCAGGACCTTGTGCACCCTAGGCATGCACTGTACCCCTGAGCTATACCTTCCCCTCTGAATGCACTCTTGAATCCAACTGGAGTGCATTTCACAAGGACTGAGAAGGCTGTTTGTCTGGAGATTGGCTTCAAGAGGGAAAAAGGAGGATTGGGAGGAGGGGTGAGGGAGGTAATATTGAGCTAAAAACTGTAAAACCAGTAGGACGAGAAAAGGACAATGGCAGCAGTGTGACAGGAGGACTCAGAGTCAGACTACCTGGATTCAAACCTGACTCTCTTTATCCTCTGGCTGTGCAGCCTTGCGCATGTTACATTCCATTCCTGGGCCTTGGTTTCCTTACTGGCGAAATGGATACTGTAGGAGTATCACGGAGTAAGTGCTTGTGATGGTTAACTCTCTGTGTCATCCTGACTGGGCTAAGAGATGCCCAGATAGCTGGTGAAACACTATTTCTGGGTGTCTGAGAGGCTGTTTGGAATCTGGACTCTGGAAAAGATTAGCATTTGAATCAGTAGACTAAGTAAAGATCACCCTCACCAATGCGAGTGGGTTATCATCCAGTCCAGCGAGGCAGTGAATAGACGGAACGGAACAAAAGCACAGGCGAAGGACAGTCACTCTCTGCTTGAGCTGGGACGTCCACCTCCTCCTGCCCTCAGACACCGGCACTCCTGGCTCCTGGGCCTTCTCAGACCAGGGCTTATACCATCAGTAAACTCCACCCGATCCCACCCCTCCCCACTCCTTCCTGGGTCTTGGGCCTTCAGGCTGGGGCTGGAACTACACTGCGGGCTTTTCTGGGCCTCCAGCTTGTAGACGGCAGATCATGGCACTTAGCCTCCAGAAGCGCAGTCTTTCGCAATGAATCTCTTTCTATGTACTTATATACATCCCACTGATTCTGTTTCTCCTCAGAACTCTCATACAGTGCCTTACAAGCACTGCATCTGCCTGGTGCACAGTGAGCATTCAGTCAGTATTAGCTAGTTATTATTACTGTTGTTTAATTATTATTACTATTGGAATATGTAGCTATTAATTTCATAGCATTAAAAATTTAGAAATGAAGATACAGATTGTGTTTATGGTCTCTAACCTCTGTAAAAATGTTGTAAGCTGTCTGAGTTCATTCAGGCTGCTACAACCAAACATAGACTGGGTGGTTTATAAACAGTACTTTTTTTTCCTCACAGTCTGAAGGCTGGGAGTGTCACATGAGGGTGCCAGCACAGCTGAGTAAGGTCTCCTTCCCAGGTCGCAGCTCTCTCATTGTGTCCTCATGTGGCAGGAGGCCAGGAATATCTCTGGGGCCTCTTTAAAAAGCACGAATCCCATTCATAAGGATTCCACCTTCACGACTTAAACACCTCCCAAAGGCCTCACCTGTTAATACCGCCATCTTTAGGGGGTAGGACTTCAGTATATGACTTTTGGGGGCCACAAACACTTAGACCATAGCAGGAACATTTAAGGTTTTAACTGTAGAGATATGTCCATCAACACAACAAGGTGGTGAATGAGGCTCCTGTTCAAAGCAGCCTAACTACCAGATGGCAGGAGAGCCCCGCAGATCAAGAAGATGCACCCTGCATGGAAACCCTCACCAAGACTCACGCGAGAACGGCTCTCGGTGAGGGTTACAGGAGAGGGGAAACTGGAGAACACGATCAATGGAGATGACGATTCTAGTGCAAGGGCTAGTGGAGGTGGTCAGGAGAGACTTCCGCCCTCCGAACATTTAGGGGAAGGTACACTAGCTCAAGGATGCGCATCTAGTAACACCTCAACTTACCTTAGGGACCATTCCATCTCTCAGACGATGAACTGAAAAAGAAGCGACCTGTGATTTCTGTTTTTCCACAACATTCTCTATTAACCAGGCTCCCTCAAACCCAGGAAACCCACTTAACTCCTTGGTCCTGGTGAGTCCCCACCCTTCCCAAGAGCTTTCTTTTTATAGAAACAGCTGAGGAAGATCTCGAGGTTCTTAACATATTTTGCTTGAGAAGAACAGAACTGAGCCAAAGCTCCTCCTGAGACAGCAGAACAAAGCATGCTGCGGCATCTCCCACCCAGTCCCCAGTGCTTCACAGTTGCTCTTCTCTCTTGCCCAATCATCGCCTGCTGTTTGATCCAGAAATCAGATGCTACTGGCACCCCTAACATTTGTGAACATCTTCTCTTCCAAGCTGATCCTTTTCAGGCTGAAGCTCTGCGATCAGTCTTTACTAATATTCAAGTCCCTTCTTGCTTTTAGAATTGGGTACTTGTCAGAGCATCCTTAGTTAGTTACGTCCAGCATATAGAATAATGGAGGCAAAAGAGATTTAAAAAAAAAGAATCATATAACATGGCTGCTATAGTCACCACCTCTGTATCTGGTAACAAGGCCGATGTTGATAATCTCAGCTAATTTTTCCACTGCTCATTCCACCTCTGCTTACAGGAAGGCAGGGCAGATTTGCGTCCTTGCTGGTCTTGTCTTCATCGGGTTGCCACAGTTTTGACTGGAACTGTTGGGAAAGTGAGTTCTAAGAGGCACCCCACGAATCCCCTGGGTGCCAAACACAGTCCTGCTTGCCCCCTCTGTGTAGCAGCAACTAATTTCCCCTGGTCAACAAGACCAATCACCCCATCAGGCATATTACCTCTTTCCCTGCTTTTTGGTCCAGTGGCATGAGAAACCCCAAAAGGTGAGAGGGCGGTCTCAGCTTCTAATTCATTAGAGTCACGTCCTTATTTCCTGGTGTATACACATTCTTCTTTTGGGTACTTGGACTTCCAGAAAGACTGAGGTCAAGGTCACACAGAAGGGAAATAAAAATCCTTCCAGTGGGTTAGTAGGTATAATAGTGAGGGGAACACCCCAATCCATGCTTTCTGGCCACAGGGGAGATGGTACCACATACTGGTCTCTAATATATAAAGCATCTGTAGCACAACACCCACACCTTCCAGCACGCTGTCTCCAGTTTGGGCCACAACTGGTCTTTAGCAGGTCATTCTACCTATCAGCCAGCAGCTGCGGGGTTATGGAGCACATGGTAAAACTTGTGAAGTCTGTGGGCACGAGCCCATGGCTCACACGTCCATTTATCAAAAAATGTATCTCCTTGTCAAAGTGATGTTGGATGTTATTCTATGGTGATGAATAAGTCCATCCCTAAGTCCACAAACGGTGGGACTATCAGAAGCCCTGAGTTTAGGGAAGGCAAATCCATACCGCAAGTGTACGTGCCTGGTGAGGAGAAAGCACTGTACCCGCCACGATGGGAGGGGCTGAATAGTCAACCAGCTAGCAAGTGGCTGGCAGGTTTCTGAAGGGAACGCGTCACACCAGGAGCTCCTCACCCGTACCTGCCTGGTGATGCCAGATGAGGAGTTCCTTCAAAGCTGCCACAGAGACCTTCCGGGTCTCCATGCCTGTTTCAACTGTATGCTCATAACTTTTCTCTTTCTCCCTAAATACGCTCACTGAGGCCACAGGAAACGAGGCGACTCTAGAATCTTTGTAATCACCATCGCTGTCACAGCGACTTGAGTGCCACAGAAGCTTGGTCTTCCGATGCCTGCCCTCCACTGCACTTCACTCCCTGCTACCACTGGCGGTAACTGGAGTTAACTGTGATGACACTGCATACCAGATTACCATGTCCTATTCACCCCCGACAAAGAGGTTATCCATGTACTCTGTGAATATATGATCAACGCAATCCCAGAATCCAAATTCTAAAATTTTTCTTCTTGAAATAATTAGAGACTCACAGGAAGTGGCAAAGAAATATACAGGGAGGTTCGTATACACCCTTCTGCCAACGCCCCCCAGCGTTAACATTTTAAGTAACTATAAAGTTATATGAAAATCAGTAAGCGGCATTAGTACAACCCATAAAGCTGTTCAGTTTCACCAGTTATATATGCACTCGTGTGTATACAGCACTATGCAGTTTTGTTACGTGCAGCCCTCCTTAGCCACCAAGAAGATCAAGACACTCAGCTGTACTATCCAAGACTACTTCACGTCACCACGCAAGGAGAAAGGCCCTGGGTGGACACAGGGAGACAGGACTCAAGCTGTCTGTAGGTCACAGATGCCCATCTCAGCACGTACAGCTCTCCCTACTGAGCGCAATTCCAAGTTTAATGATAATGTATTTCTTAAGTAAGTAAGAAAGGCCTAAAATACAAGCCAATTACTTAATCAAGGGCTCACAGAAGGATAAGAGAGATTCAATAGTGTTCTCTGATAGTTTCCTTATGTTGTGTTCCTCAGGTTTCTAACTAATTTAGCTTTAAATTCTGAGCTAGAAAAACCCACAGCAGATGTTACCAGAAGCAGAAGAAATATCTTCCTAACCCATTAAAAAAATCAAGCAAAGTTTTACTCAAACCTACGTGGGCCAAACACGCCATAATCTAATTTTATCCAGAAAAACTCAGAGTTTTAAGAAGTCTATGACCTGTACAAAGATGGCTGAAACAAAGGCAAATACTGTCATGTCTGTGACTTCCAGTAATACATGAAGAAAATCCAAATATCCCGAGCCACAGTGGTTGCAAGAAGCCTGTCTGCAATCAGAGGCAGGCAGATCCTTAATAAATCAGTCACAAACACAAGCTTGTATTTTAAATATACAGTAGGAACATTTATTTAACACTTCTAAAAGATATTTCTCCATGCCTGATGATTTGATATAAAAATCAAACCCATCATACTTTCCCCATCAGTCTCTCTACATCAAGGGCAATCAGAAATTTGTACAACATGAATATTCGCTTCTGAAACAAAAATTACAAATTAAGTGATAACAAAAATACACAAATCAACTGGACCCTAAACGAATTTCTAATGAGTTCTTTCCCCTTTCCCCCAATCACCTAGAGCTTCTTTCTTCAGCCTCATTCTGCTCCTTTTCCTTCCTTTGCTTGGCCATGAACTTCTGTTAAAAGCAATTCATAATATAAAATATTTATTAGATGTTGCTTTGCTGTGTATACAAACATATCTAATATATTTCATTTACAATTTAAAAGCACTTTGATCCTACAAAATGAAGATTAGAAACACAGTGCCTTACATTAACATTCCTTCCTTCCATTCATGAATCATCTGATATTTATGATATACTAGGCATTATGCTTGATGCTTGGGGACTCAGTGGTCAACAAGATAGGTAAGGCCCTTTACCTCATGGAGCTTACATTCTAGTGGGGGAAGAAAAACAAAAAAATAAATAAACAAGATAATATGGGTGGTGGTAAGCATTATCAAGGGAAGAAATACAGCAAAGCAAATGAGACTGACACTTTTTTGGGGGTGGGAGGAGAGTTCTACTTTAAGCTAGGTCTTTCTTAGGCAAAGGCCTATCTGGGAAGCTATTATTTGAGTCTAGATCTAAAAGATGAGGAAAAATCAGCTATCCAAGGGGGTCTGAGACAGGGCAAAGGAAGAGCGGTATCAAGGTGCGAAGGCAGCAAAGGGGCCTTTCTTGTATGAAAAATAAAACAAAGAGAGCCAGAAAAGCTGGAAAACAGCAAGCAATAAAAAACAGATCAGAGAAGTCGAAGAGAATCAAATTATGCAGGGCCTTACAGACCCACAATAAGAAGTCTGGACATTATTCCAAGTGTAATGCGAAGCCAGTGGAAGATTTCAAATGGAAAAATGACGCCATAAACTCAAGAGCACAAGTAGCACAGCACAACGGTTGAACACGAGTCTAGAATGACACAGACACGCAAATCCTCAATCTGCCACAGCTTGGCCATGCGACCTTGCGATTAGATACTTGCGTTTAGATACTCTTTAAGCCTGTTTCCTCATCTTTAAAATTGGAACGATACACCTACCTCATAAAGTTGATGAGGGGGGGGACTGAATAAGCTTCTAGCAAGAAACAGCTCAATGAATGTTAGATGAGTGTCTGTGCCACAAACAGAGGACATAGAAACCAACTCTCAAACATGTAGGAGGAATCAGAGCCATTGTTTCAATTACGGCTAATAGTGACTTTCTACAGTTCTACTCTAAATGCTTCCCAAAGTGATGTATAACTAAAAGGGGAGGGGGCAGAGTGAGGGGTGTGACTAAGTCAGTTTAGGAAATGGGTTAAAGTTTAGTGGATTCTTTGGTCAGACAATTCAGAAACTTACATATGCTATGTCTACGACTCTGCAAGAGGGCATCAGAATACAGTTTCCCACATTTTAATGATATCACATGGGACTAGTGATGTGCAGCATCTACTCTGGCAAATGCTGCCAGAGGAAAAGGAATAAAAACTAAAAGTCACTGGCAAGGTACAGTGAAGGACATGAATGGGACTCTGAACTCAAGAGAAACATCTTGCACAAACCTTACAAAGTTCTCCCACAGAGGGAAGGAATGCA